TTGACTAAGAAATTGTATATAGAAAGAACTAAATAAATATATACAAAGGAATTTGTGCAGCGATCTACTACAAATATTTGCAACTGTATAAATAAATAAATAAACTGAAAAGGAAATTGTGTGGATTCGATCATTTCTCTAAGCGTTCTGTATATTTTACATAACAGAACAGTTTTCCACCAAATTCATTGAGTTTGAACTTTAAAGCAAAGCTAAAGATAAAGAAGAGGTGGTTTTAATTTATTGCTATTATCTTTAGACACATAATTGATATAAGTTTACTAAAATTACTAGCTAATCCATTGAACTTTTCCATGTTTGGCTTAAACATTTATCTACAATCCCTGCTGTAAACCCAGTTTGGAATTTTAAAGTCACACCCTTTTTGGGGCTTGCTAATTTATTTTTGCTTAAGCTAAAAAGTTAATAATAATTACCACGGGTTCCGCTGCACAGCAGTAAAAAATATTACAAAAAAAAGACAGAGAGAATTACACACGCACTGCTGACCAGCGGCACAATTACTGTTGGCATTACAACAATGTGTGTCTACCTTTGATAATAATTATGCTTATGACGGCGACGATGATAATGATGATGATGATAATAATGAGGATGGCACTGTATGCATGTCAAGTGTACCGTGGGTACCGGAAAATCAATTGAGTGAGTGACAGGCGGACAGTTCGAGATGTACTTTCACAATAGGCTATAGATATAGATATGAGCACGGCCGGCGATCGAATTTCTATAGTTCAAAACAAACACAAAAAAAAAAACAGGAAAAAAGATGAGAAGAAAATAAACGGAATCATGTCGAGGTCAGGCTGTTGAATCAGCCTCCTTTCCTTGGTTTCGACACGGCAAGAAAATGGTTAATAGAGAAGCTCCTTAAAATATAGCAAAAACTCTAGGTTTAATATTCATTCCGACCGATTTTTACAAGAAACTTAAATGTATCTTTCACTAAACTCTGATATTATTCATATAACAAATATTAAAGAAGCTGACTTTGATATATTTTATATCTTAACATATTACTATTATTATAAAGAACTCCAAAGATCAATTGCATTTAGTATACCTTTACAGGGTATTATAAATTCAGTCAGAAGTTTAAAACTAAGTGAAGAAGCCATTTCTCACCCTATAAATCATATATATTCTTGATCAGCATTAACAGCCGAATCGATCTAGCCATCTCAGGAGGAAATCAATTTTTTTTTTAATTTTTACCAAATTTTTATATCAATATTTTACATAATTAAAATTGAAAAAATTGTCAAAATTTAAATAACCTATAATCCTAAATTAGGTATGCAGTTTTATTAACCTAACAAAAACTAACATAAGGCAGCTTTCCGAATTAAAATTTATGAATTTTTGGCTTAGTTATGAGATTTTAAATCTGCGATTTAGCGAATAAATTTTCATATAAAAATATTGGTTCAAAAATGGTATCTCAATTTTAGTCGGAAGCTTGTAACTCTTGAAGGAGACATTTCCGACCCTTTAAATCATATATATTCTTGATCAGCATCAACAGAGGAATCGATCTAGCTATGTCCGGTGGAAATCTATTTTTTCGAAAAATTTTGGAAATTTTTTTCGCTAAGAAAAATCATAAAAAATGTTAAAAAAATGTTTTAAGCTTTAAACTAATTATACAGATTTGTTAACATTACAAAAACTAGCATTGGACTGCTTTCCGAATTAAAATTAATGCATTTTTGGCTAAGTTATGATGATTTTTATGATCAAAGGGTATAGAAAGTTCGACTACCTTCTTGTTTTTCTTTTTTTCATAGAATTTCCTGTATAGGTATACACTCCTTTGGGTACATTTCTCTCGGTGCATCTAAGATAATCGATGGGAAGAGGCAAAAGCCCCAAGATTGCGGGTTTTTCATTCATTTCCTAACGTTCTTTTTCTTCCCTTCATCTTTTCTTTTCTGTGCTGCTGGCTGACTAACTGTAAAGAAAGAAAGTTCTACAGCAAGTGGCGAGCTCAAAGCTGATGACATCACGCTCTACCGGCAAATTAAAGCTCCCCACATACAAAAAGTAAAAGAAATACAAAATGCTTAAGAAAAGACATAAAACATGGAAGAAAGAAAGAAATAGAGACAGAGACTGGCAGAAACAGAAAAGGTCACAACATGTGTTAAGTCTAATCTGTCCAAAAATGGAATATGCCACCTAGGCGGTTGAATGAAAACCGAAAACCGAAAGAGAAGAAGGCAATAGACAAGCCAAAACAAATTGTCAGCAAATTTGATTTGATGCCCATTTGACAGCCATAAAAAACGTAAAAAAAACGACGTGTCAGCTGCTTTGGCCTTCCTTTTAATGCAATTTTTACAAAGCCCAGAAGAGAACAGAATAATCCCAAATAACACCTGTTTCCGTAAGGTGGTGGGGCTTAAATTTAATTTCAAGCAATTACCACATCTTTAATTGCTATTTGTAAGCTAAGAAATAAAATAAAATTGATTTTAAATACCTGGAATAACTATCACATTTCCAAATATTAAGAATGAACAAATTTTAAGTAACTTAATGCTGAGAAAAAATATTTTTAAAATTATATTTTCCTAATTACACCCAGCAATTAACTTTTAAAAGCTTTAAGCTTAGTTAATTGCAGGAAAAGCGATTAAAACAAAGGGAAAACAACTTTGGTTAAGGTCTTCTTTAAACAGATTTCCCTTAATTATTAAAACTAGTCTTTTAAGACAATAATTATTATTAAATTTTGTAACTTTCTATAATGTTTAATCCTTTAATTCACCTGCTTGTTTAATAATCGATATGCGTGCTGCAGTGCGAATTTATTAATCGATTACCAGACTTAATGGCGCGCAGCATGTTATCGGCGAGTTGGCTTCAATTCCAACTAGAACAATGTTTAAGCGCTCGGATTCGAATTTCGTGGGTGCGGCAAGAAAATGGGAAATTGGATACGGATACAGATACAGATACACAAAATGCAGCCGAAAAAGATGTGGGTCAACAACCACCGAATGAAGTTGACCCACTTATATATATATATATCTATATAAATATATGTATCTGGCTTTAAAATGCACACACACTCACACACACACTCATGAACACGCCTTGGCTCATTATGTAATAAAACGATGACGATGTTTAACGGCATTCCAGTTAGAACGTCGCCACTGCAGCGCCGGCGCATTAACAACTCCAATTGGAGTCACCTCTTCAGTGGTGGGAAATGCGAAAAGCAGACGGAGAAGAACCCAAACAAACAAGCCCATCTTCCAATTGAACTGATAACAAGAGAGAGAGAGAGCGAGGAGATAGAGAGGGAAGTTAGAGAGTGAAGGGAGAGAGAGAGAGGCGGGACAGAGGGAGAGATACCCGTAAGAGAGAGAGAGAGAGTGGATAAAATACAGTGGAATCCTTTAAAAGGGAAGATGAATAATAAAAGTAGTTTTAAAATTATTTACTATATTTTAAATATATATTTTATTTAGTTTTCTAAATGAAAAAAAAATATATATATATATATTTAAAACAGAGAATTCACAGATTTGGGTTTTTAAAACCCACAAGCTTTCTATATACAATTTGTTCTCATTTGAAATATTTTCTAATTCCAATTCTAAAGTGTTCTTTTATAGTTAACTTTGCTGTAAATAAATTCTACTTAAAGAATAAACCCTACTAAGCTATAAAAATGTGCAGTGAAATCAACTTAACGAATTTAATTTAACTTCAAAGCAAAAGATATTATCAGTGATAGTTTTCCAAGAGCTCAAAGCTTTAATTTAATGATGTTCTCACGCAATGAAAGAATTGCGTTGTCTCGTTTTAATTGTTTCCGCAATTATTTGCCATTTTGCCTTCCCTCCTCTACTATTTTACGGTGATTCCATTGAAACCCATTCATAGGAAAACCATCAACAGAGTAATCACTGTACGCCTTGGGTTAAAGCAAACAAAGTTTTAAAACCAAACTGGCTGGTGAGCGGTATAATTATCGATTTAAAAATTCGTGTGTTTCAAGCTTCCTTTCCTGGGGAAGGTGGTTTTTTATACTTTATCTTTTTTTGGGATATATACCATAAAGGCGGGGACAGCAGACAGAGTTCATTGCATCGGATTTGGGTTGATGAGAACGCTTTTCCAAAGCTGAATTCGCTGGAGTACAGATCAGAGCCTCAGCTCATTTATGGATTGGCCCGGAAAACACGGCCAACTATGAACTATGAACAACAAAATAATCATAAAGCCCAACTGCAAACAAAAGTGAAAGCAGCCAAAAAGTCATTAGACGGAAGTTTTTTTAATGAGGTAAAAGTAGGCTCTATTCGGGGCACAATACAATTGCACAATCATACAAAAAAAAGCCCTACAATAAACTGAATGCCTAAGATACCAACAGATTGTTACACTGCAAAACAAAACACCCAAAAGAATAAAGCAAAATCTCTAATTAAAAACGAGATACTTTATTTTAAAACTTTATACAAATATTTAGAATTTATTTTGATTTTAAATCAGAGCAAAGATCAAAGGTTTAAACACAAGGGAGAAACTATTGATATTTCTAAAAAATTGTTAATAATATTCAAGGTAAAACCCAGTACGGATTTTAGTGTAATAATCAGATTTATAAATAAAGAAAATATATGAATTATTTATCAAATTTATACACCTAATATGGTGTTACTTTTGGTGTTGTCAGTGTAATTTAATGAGGTATCATTTTTTCGGTGTCTGTGGAGGTACTTTATTATTTTTTTGTAATTTTCGGTAAGCACATTAAGCTGGTAGTCTGTCTGAAAGCCAATACCTGACTTGAGTACATAATTTATCTATAAAAAATCAAGTGTTTCATGACAAAGTAGGAGTTTCTTCTAAGAAATATACAATATAACTGACTAGACATAGAAATAGAAATATAAATCTCAAAGAGATCCTGATAAAATGGATTAAAATATCCCCTTTAATTAGTGTAATAAGTCACTCACTCTTCTTGCACTTCGATGCCGCTGTCATCCATATTTCCCTTGGCATAGTCTCCACTGTACCCGCCACCGGCGAGTGGCAAGTGCGACGCCAGCGTCGATGCCAACGGCAGCTGACCAGCAGCAGCAGCGGCGGCACCGCCACTGGGATGATCTCCAGCATCTCCAGCAGCCGCATCAAAGCCAAAGGTGGACTCCACGTGTTCCGACAGCGGTGTTGGCGTCTCAAAGACGAGCGTCTCCACCATGGAGCCCTTCGAGGAGCCAAAGGAGACACTGCAAAAGGCGGAAGAAGGTGAAAGAAGAGATGAGAATGGAGAAAAGGAGGGAGAAGGGAAGATGGAGAAGGTCAGGTCAGGTCAGGTCAGGTCAACTGGGGGAAAGCCTACAGGGAAACTCTTACTCTCTTTAAATAAAGTTTAAACTTTCTTAACTAAAAGTATTTGAAAAAATAAAATAAAACAAAGAATCTGTTTATAGATTTATAAGAAAACATTTATATCCGTTATATTTTATAGTCAAAACTTAAGGGCTTTCGTTACTTTTAGTTTAATGATTAAAATTTTGAAATTCAAAACTGAAATCTCTGTATTCCCTCTTTCCTATTATATAGCTTTACTTCCTCATGATAATAATGCTATATAATTATTTAAAAATCAACAGTTTATATAAATTTCTGTTTTCGCTAATAGATTTAATTGAAATCTCAGACCTTCGGGGATTTTGATAGAGATTATAAGGCCCCCCATCAATTTGGTAATAAAAAGCGCGTGCTTTAAGTACGCTCAATCTTTAAGCTTAAGTATACAACAACTGTTTAAAATACTTTTCTTTTTGCCAAACTAAACTTTCTTGTGGTTAATAAATCGAAAAGTAATTCTTTCTCTATACCCATCAAGATATAGCAGATATAAATAAATGTTGAAACTTGAACCGATCGATCAAATTGCGTGGCAAAAATAATAACCACAAGGCTAATACTATAGTTTTATATATTATATCTCGTGGGGTATTTTTTTTTTTGCATATTATATATATATATATATATATATATATAATTAATAAACAGGAGACCTTTTCTTAATCAAAATGAAGATAACTGGTAAATCTTTTTATCGCACAAAGTATCGCAATGCAAATTTGATAAGCAATTACTTGGTGTTTATTGCTCAGTGGAATTTTTGTACCCTTGCAAGGGTATTATAAGTTCAGTCAAAAGCATAAAAAGCGGTGAAGCAATCATTTCCGACCCTATAATCCATATATATTCTTGATCAGCATTAAAAGCCGAATTGATCTAGCCATGTCTAGAGCAAAACAATTTTTTCGAATTTTTTTTCAAATTTTTATCATTAAATTTGATATAGTTAAGAATGTAAAATTTGACAAAATTTTAAATTGCGTAAATTGTAAAACCTTATATGCAGATTTTTAAACCCTATAAAAACTAGCACAGAACAGCTTTCCGAATTGGAATCAATGCATTTTTGGCTAAGTTTTGAAATTTTAAAACTTCAGATTTGCCAAAAAAATTGCTATATAAAATATTGATAAATACACATGAAAAAAATCTGAATATTTTAAACATAATTATAATAATATCAATAAGAGTATATAAAACTTCGGCTTCTCGAAGTTAGTTTACTTTCTTGATTTCTTTAATTTTTATAAGGCTATGAAAATTTTAATATAAAATTATTTACGGTATTATTAATTTTAAAAACATTATATTATATGGTAACATAGAAATTAAAACTTACATATATTTATTTATAATATATTATTGAGCTAATTATTTCAACTATAAACATTATTCAATTATTCCCACTGTGCCAAAAATTGCACCTAAGCGATAGCAAAAAAAGAAAAGAAAGAGTAAGAACGCAAGACATTGGATGTAGAGAAAGGGGAGTGGTGGGGAGGGGAGGGGGAGGGGGAGAAAGAGACAAAACGCACCGCTTGAGACCGACGCTTTTGGTACCCAATTTGCTCAGTTTGCCGGGCTTCTTTTGGGGGCGTGGGAATTTATCGCTCAGATCGCTGGATAGATCCTCGTCGTCAGCTGTTCCCTCTGCCGTCTCTGTTGCTCCCGTTGCTGCTGCTGTTGTTGCATTGTTGTTGTTGCTTTTGCTCTTATTCGTATTCGTATTCGTATGTGTATTGGCATTATTAACGGTGTTTTTAGCACTGACCACAACCATGGCATTGTTGTTGTTGTTCACATTGTTATTTGTTGCTGCTGCTGCTGCTGCAGCTGCTGGCGTTGTTGTTGCCGTTGTATGCACCAATGGCAGCGACGTCGGTGGCACAGGAGCAGCGACGCCGACAGAGGACGAAGGAGTTGTTGCGGCAGCGGAAGCGGCAGCGGCGGCGGTGACAACAACAATTTCATCGCTCAGCAGACGCGTTCGCTCGTCGCAGTCGACGGCGACAGCGACGCCGGCAGTGCCGTTAGACAGCATTGCGGTTGTTGCAGTCGTTCTTCCTCTTTTTCTTCTTGTTGCTTTTATTGTTGTTTCTCTTCGCGACGGTAATAATGTTGTAGTTGTTGTTGTTGTTGTTGCAGCAAACAGATTCGGTTTCGCGGCTAACGGGGCATTTCGAAGGGCCAGCATAGGCACTCACTCACACACACACACACACACACACTTAACGCTTGATTGAATCTGAATTTCCGCCGCGGTTTTTCAACACGACAAAAAAAAAGAACAACAAAAATTAAACCAAAAAGAATTTAAAAAACAGCACACGAATATTAACACATTAGCAGCAGCAGCAACAGCGGTAGAAGCACACACAGATACACGGGGAACACACGGCGCAAAAAAAAAACAGCAACAAAATGCGGCGACGTCGGCAGAGGCTGTCCGCTGACTGCAGCAGCGTCGCGTCGGTGACCTGCACTTTATATTTCACCGAAGTTGGCGCCCTAAAGCGCGTTTATAAATAAATGCAGACGTGCATTTAATAAATCGGACTGCGAGCGCGGCTGTTGCTGTCGTATATATCCATTGCCCCAAACATTAGAGAGTTGGAAAACCGTGTCGTTACGTTTCGCGATGAATGGGCGCTATGTCTGGACGATGCGGCGTTCGTTGAGGGTACAAAAAAAAAAAAAGAATACCCAGCAGCGAGCGTTGCGACTTGTTTGGTTTTTTATTCAATAAAATTTTACAGAGGGGCTCGCAGCACTGGCGGCGTTGCCATATCGTTACAAGTCATGTCGAGGTCACACTAAAAACTGACGTGAGGCGAAAAAGTTCACACTAAATACCTTAAAATACGTTTTTAGCAAAGTTCTCCACCATTTCCGCGATATATCGATAAGTTTACGAAACATAGACGGTCACTCTATCGAGTGTTATCGTGCTATCGATATTCACCATTTGGCAGAGATGACCGAAATTGCAATTTTTTCGCTTAGTCAAATTCTTGTGCATTTCTCAACTGACAAAAGCAAGTGAATTCCCATTCCCATGCAGCAAACCAATTTCGATGGCAGCAAGCGTGGCGAATTGAATAACACAACAAAGCCGGCGACGAAGCAGTGTGAAAACCGAAGAAAATCGCCAGTGAACGGATCACAAGGGCGAGGGCTATCGCTCATCTCTATTACAAATACGAAAATGAAATTGCGTGCATTCTAAATGGTAAGTTTAATGTGCTAAAAAGTGATAAAACCGAATGAGAAAGACACCGAAATAGTGCTTGCAGCCACGGGCGTTATGGTTAAAGTTCAGTAAACATTCCAGCAAGCGGCAGCAACAATCAAAATAAGGCACGCACGCACACACACACACACGCACACACACACACACACGCACACATGGAAATGCGCAAATGTTTTTATTTTTTTTTGTGTGGAAATGGTAGAAGGAGGAGGGGGAGCTTCCACTTTGTTGTTGTTTTTGTTCAAGTGAGTTTTTTTTTTCGTGCATTTTGTTGCAGCCTAATTGTTTTATAAACAATCGTTAATTTGCAAGCAATTAAATGGTAAAATCAATTTCAATTTCCTTCGTGCGCAAAACAAAAACACACCCATGTGCGTGTGTGTGAGTGTTTGTGTGAAATGCAAACTGTAAAATCGCTGAAACTTAAATCCCAGTGACACTGCGCGACATAACCAGCAAGTGCTATAAATATACACTTGCACATGAGTCACTTGATAAATAATGCGGCTCAGAAAACCAAGAAAAACCGAGAGAAAAACAAAAACAGAAATAGAACACCGCGTATGAGTAAATAATTTGCCGGTTAAGTTTGGTTTTTAGTTTCGCCATACCGGTTAGCCCGGTTAGGAAAATTATAAACTAATACTATAGCATATTGCAACAAAAAATGAGTATGAGAACCACTTTGGTTGCAAAAACAAGGCCCTAAGCCAAACAATTAATTTGCAGCTGGTCTTGGTAGCAGCAGCAGTTTAAAAAAAATGTCTGCAAATCGCAAAAGCAGCTGGCATTTTTATTGAGAAATTTTTGTAATTATAATTTTTTAAAATAACAAACAGCTCAAGATTAATTTTAACAAGTTCACTGTATAAAATATATATAATTTATATTTTTTATATGATATTAAAGCAACAACAAGTAAAAATAATAATATTTCGTTAATTAAAATTGAGATTTATAAATCTCTTACCAATTTAATTATATTATTCAAATTTTTTTTGAGCATATTATATTATTTTCTGTTATTATAAAGTAAAAATACTTGAAAATGTTAATATAAATTTTAAAAATGTTAGAAAAGCTCTTAAATATTAGTAATTCAATTATATTTCCTGTAAATCTGTCTCTTCGATAAAATAATCTTATTAAAGTACCTTATAAACTGAAAACTTTAAAGAAAACCTTTAAATTACATGCTGAAGGCACCTGCCAAAGTCAATTTTTTAAAGCTTAATTCAATATTTGTACATAAATTAATATTTTTCAATTGCAATATACACGATAAATTGGCATTTCTTAAAACCAAAGCTTTACAAACCGATTTAATATTTACTCAAACCAAAAAACCATTTCATAATTCATAAATTGACTGAAAAACAGTCTTCACAAGTAAGAAAATGAAATACAATATCTTAAAATAAAGCTATAAAACTAATCCGACTTTATTTTCCTTTTAGCCACATGGGAACGATGACCAAGGACTACGACTATCTGCTAAAGGTCCTGCTGGTGGGCGACAGTGATGTGGGGAAGCACGAGATACTCTCCAACCTGGAGGATCCCTCAACGGAGAGTCCCTTCTGCAGCGGCAACGGTGAGTGATCGAGTGCGTCCGTGCTTTAGAGAAAGAGAAGAGAGAAGAGTAATGTGCATGTAACTCTGCCTTCCGTGCCTCCGTGCCTTCGTGCCTGTGTGCCTGTCCATGTTGCCTGTGTTTACCACCCACTCCTTCCCAACCTAATAGACTGCACATCCTCTCACATCCTCCAAACGGTAGCGTACAAGACGACCACCATCTTGCTGGAGGGCAAGCGGGTGAAGCTGCAGCTGTGGGACACCTCCGGCCAGGGACGCTTCTGCACGATCATACGCTCGTATTCGCGTGGAGCCCAGGGCATCATACTCGTCTACGACATTACCAATAAGTGGAGCTTCGATGGCATTGATCGTTGGCTAAAGGAGGTCGATGAGGTTAGTCAGAATCTATTTATTTACTAAAGAGTTGTATTTACTAATTCTTTGTTTGATTTTGATGTAGCATGCTCCTGGCATACCCAAGGTGCTGGTGGGGAATCGCTTGCATTTGGCCTTCAAGCGTCAGGTGGCGGCCAAACAGGCCGAGACCTATGCCAGCCGCAACAACATGTCCTGCTTCGAGATATCGCCACTCTGCGACTTTAATATACGCGAATCCTTTTGCGAATTGGCTAGAATGGCGCTCCATCGCAATGGCATGGAGCACATTTGGCGTAGCAATAAAGGTATATCCCTTAGGACTATGATTATTATTTTGATAATGATACATATAGTTATATATATATTAATTTGTACATAAATATTATAAGTTTCTCTTGTATTTAGGGAATTTCATTTAGATTATTATTGTTTTTAGTTTAAAATCAAGCTGAACTTGATTTTTCTTGTAATTAACCTTGATTATTAACTTATGCCCATATTATGGCCATCATTAAGTGTCAGAGATTCAGTTTGTTAATTGATTAAACCTCTTGGGTTATTTTTAGCCAAGTTGCGAAAATGTATACAAGCTATTAGTGGTTTTTGTTAATCATTTAGTTGAGGTTTTTAATGAAGCTTTAATAATAACTTTTGACAGTTTGATAACATTTTGTGTAACTCTTTTTTGCTTGGTTTTTGTTTGTGAACTTGAAAAGTTAAAAATGATTAAAAAAATAGAAAAAAAAAGGTTAAAGATGGTGAACATATTTATAATAAATTAAGTTTAAAGTATCCATTTTCATGTCTTATTGTTTACGATTATAAAAGTTATCTTATTTATTGTAGAACAGTTTATTTAAAATGTAAATAACCATGAAAATCAAATGTTTGTGATGTCCAACTTGTAAGTCTTTATTTTTTATGGAAAGATGGTAGAATATATAGATGTATATATATACTGTATTAATATTTAATGCAAACGTTGATATATAACATGGATATTTATATTTTCGTGATATATGTACAATAAATCGATATATATTGAACTAATGTAATAAGAAAAGGAAACATTTTATGATAATATTGATGTATTAACATTAAATGCATTTGATATATTAAAGTTTTCTATATGTTAATAATATTATGTATAACATATTGATATTTTAACATTAATTACGATATTTTTCATTATCTAACCTGTTCATATACCAAATTTAACAACATTTTTTGGCATTGTTAAAGAGCTTTACATGTATTTAGTAGGTATAACATATCATTACATTAAATGCATTTGATATATTTAAGTTTTCTATATGTTTATGATAATATGTATAACATAATCGATTATAATTATGTTTTAACATTAATTACGATATTTTTCATTATCTAACCTGTTCATATACCGAATTTAACAACATTTTTTGGCATTGTTAAAGAGCTTTACATGTATTTAGTATATATATGTGATCATTTCATTAAATGCATTTCATATATTAAAGTTTTCTATATGTTAATGATAATATGTATAAGATAATCGTTTGTATTGATCTTTTAACATTATATAGGGTAGTTTTTAGTATTATAATTGTACTTATAGAGAACATTATATGTATTTAGTAGATATATTATATCATTACCAAGTATCCCTATTAATCTATTAATCTATTTCTTGCAGTGCTATCCCTGCAGGAGCTGTGCTGTCGCACAATTGTGCGACGGACGAGTGTGTATGCCATCGATTCGCTGCCGTTGCCGCCATCGGTGAAGTCAACGCTCAAGTCATATGCGCTGACCACGTCGCAGTGCTTCAACTCGCTGACGCAGAGCTCCAGGAGCAAGAATCGCTGCAAGACGCCGACGAGCCACAGTCGGAATAGTTGTGCGATCGCGTGATCGTTGCCACGTAGGCGGAACCGAGCTGCCTACTTAAATACTACTACTACTACTGCGTCGTCGACGATTAACTTTAATTGAGCAAGGAAAACCCTAATTAATGTACTCTAGGCTAACACACACACCTCACACACCTCACACCTCACTCGCCACCACCCCAATTTCACCCTCTTTGGTTATATATTTTTTTTATGTTTTTGTTTCATCGACATTGATATATATATATATATTTATTGCCCACTTCCGCAAAGAAAAAAAGCAGTACTTTTAACACTCTATAAAAACATTAAATTTAGTTTTCTTTTAACCCTTTCTGCCCCCTCGATTTTTCCGCCCCTTACCACAACTGTTGTTAATATTATTATGTTTGTATAATTCTAATATATTTAAAGCGATCAACACAACAAACATCAAAACAGTAAAAACTAAAAAAAAAGAAACAAACGAAAAAAAGAGAGAAAGATAATTTTTGATACGGATAAATAAAAAAAGAATTATATTTTTTTTGTTTGTTTACCATCGGATTAAAGTATTCTTAGAGATGTAATTGTAACTGAAGGCGGATTCAGGCGAATTGATAAAGATAATTCATAATGAACCACAAGAAATCGGGCGTGTGTTTTTATTTCCTATCCCTTTCTGATTCCTGGCATTAAGGCGGGTTCCACTCTGTCTATCCCTTTCTTATTTGGGGTTTTTTTCTGTGATAATTTATGGGAGGGGGGGGGGAGAAAAGTGAAAGTTTGAAGCTTTTCTTATATAATTATAAATATTTAATTGGGGAATTTCTTAATTGGAAATTTTTGATATGTGAATTCTTTATATAATTCATTTGTATTTACATGAAAAAAAGGTTTTATTTTGATTTCTCAATAGATTTATGACACTTATATTTTATATTCTTAAATTTCAGTTTATTCTTAAGCTTAAATTTGAAAAAGGTTTATGAAACTCTTTTAATTTGTATTTTATTTATTATTATTATTGTCGAATCTTTATTTATTTTCTTTATTTCTAGATATTTATTAAAATCCTTAAATATATAAAAAATGGTTTTAAATTTATTTGCTTAATCTAAAATAATAATTATATATTTCGAAAGGCAACGAAACTTAGCCACTTAACCAGATGAAAATTAGGAAAGACAAGACAAGATCTCTACGTTTTAGCCACAAATTAAATTTGATAAAGTCTTGGTACCCTGTAAATGATACAACTTGATGGGGATAATTTATTGTTATTTATTTTATTATTATAAATAATATATAAAAACAAGAAAGGATTGAAATTTGAGCACTAGGAATTAATATATTATAAATTTAATATATTTATGTTCAAAAACAATTAAATAATGCCTGCTTTAATTCCATTTACTCCATTTTCCTCTATTTTTATCGTTCGTTTGTATGACAGCTATATGATATAGTAGTCCGATTTTTATATAATTAAAAAAAAATCCTAAATAATTATTCAATTGATATATATAAAATTTGATGAAAATCTGTTGAAAACTGGAAAAGTAATAATTTTTTTTCTTAAAATTTTCCGATTGTTCCTATGGCAGCTATATATATATGTATATATATATAGTCCACCGATTCGCCATGCCTTGACTTATATACTAGTAAAATTATATAGAAGAATAACTCCATAGTTTCATTCAAAAAACTTAAATTTGTTCCAAAACAAATCTCTCGCATCTGTGCTTATGATTCCCAACTCGTTCTAACATCCCCGGAACGAAGTGCCTGCTGCCGGCCACGTCTCAGAAATGTGTTGTGTTACAAAAGTTGCAAGTCATTGTTTACAAGTGTTCAAAGTTAGTAACTGATCATACACACTTACTGATCATTGTTACTTAGTGGTCATAGATACTTACTGATCGTAGGTATTTACTGATCACAGTTATCTACTGATTATAGTTACTTAATGTTCATTGATACTTATTGATCATAGATACTTACTGATCATAGTTATTTACTGTTCAGAGTTATTTACTGATTATAGTTACTTAATGTTCATTGATACTTATTGATCATAGATACTTACTGATCATAGTTATTTACTGTTCAGAGTTATTTACTGATTATAGTTACTTAATGTTCATTGATATTTATTGATCATAGTTAATTACTGTTCAGAGTTATTTACTGATCATAGTTAATTACTGATCATAGTTACTAACTGTTCAAAGATACTGATCCTCTATTTTGATTTTAATTGTTTCTTTACAGATTGTTGGGATCTGATACATTAAACAGATTGTGTATTTATTAAAAATCTGTGCAACAACGGTATGTAGATTTTGTTTTTGGGATTACAACGCAATTACAAACGATTTATATTTATATTTTCTTCCTAAATGAATTTCTTATATACTTTAAATGAGCACATATATTGGTTTTTGTAATTAATTTTCCACAGTATCTTAATATTCGTGAGTTACACATCGAAATCAGATCGATTTGTTTCGTTTTCAACATCTGCTCGCGGGGGCTGTCCCCGGGACCGGAGATTTGTGTGATTAATCGCCCGCTGCGAACCCAATTTGATATTGTAATATTATTTAAATGATTCAAATTGCCTTTCCTTCGCTTCGCCCTTTAAGCCAAGACGTCTTCTTCGATGTTTGTGGTTGTTTTTTATTTTTCTATTTTGGCCACTTTTGCTTTACACAATTCCAGAGCGTTGGCCAATACGCGTTATACTTTTTAACGTTTTTTTATTTAATTTTTAATACATTTCGCTGCGGCATTAAATGCCGAAATGATAGCGAAATTATTGCAGTAATTTGCATATGTTTCTTATTCACTCTTTAATGGGTTTTCCTTTGATTTGATTTGATTTTATTTTTTGGCAAATTAAAAAGCGTTCGGCTGTGAAAGAGGTGATGAGTGAGGCTTTGATATCCACATAATTGGTTCAATTGTATTTATTTTCAAAGAGGATTTTATTTGGTTAAAATTAAGGTACTTATTTTACATATAATTGCGAAATTTAATGAAATTTTAGATGATTTTTCACAATTTAAGCAAAGTTTAGGAAATATATTTTACAGTCATGTCATTTTATTATTATTAATGTTAGATAGATATAAATATATTATTTTTAATATTATATTTTACCACCCGAAATAATCAAAATAATAGAAATTTTTCATATGCAACAGTTTTGAATGTTTTTAAAGTTATTAATTATATTTTATTATGCATTAGTTATAATTATACCCTGGCAAGGTATTATAATTCTACTCAGAAGCATGAAATACGGTGAAGGAGTCATTTCCGACCCTATAAATCATATATATTTTTGATCAGCATGAAAAGCCGAATCGATCTAGCTATGTTTGGGAGAACATTTTTTTTTTAATTTTTTTTCGAAATTTTATGACTAAATTTTATATTGTTAAAACTAAAAAATTTGACAAAATTTTAAATTGGGTATATTATAAAAATTAATATGCAGATTTGTTAGCATTATAAAAACTAGCTCAGAACAGCTTTCCGAATTGAAATTAATGCATTTTTGGCTTAGTAATGAATTTTTGAAATTGTTACATTTTTAAAAATTGTCATATAGAAATATCAATAAATATTGACTCAAAAATTGGTATTGGTTTCAGTCAGAAGCATAAAACTAAGTGAAGCAGTCATTTCCGACCCTATAAATCATATATATTCTTGATCAGCATGAAAAAATCTATTTTTTCGAAAAATTTCGAAATTTTTTTACGTGATTTTATCTTAAAAATCATGCCAAAAATTGATAAAAATTCGAATTTTTTTAAATTCTAAATTAAGTATGCAGATTTGTTAACCTAACAAAAAATTCTGATTTGAAATTAATGCTTTTTTGGCTTAGTTATGAGTTTTTAAACTTTGATTTGTCAAAAAATTCTAAGAAGAGATTCTAAGAATGGTAATATTTTAAGCTTAATTATGATCAATTGCAAACTGCAAGGGTATATAAACTTTGGCATCATGTTTTTGATAATTTCTGTGGAAAATTCCCTCAATTTTCTTCGATTTAACCCCGCTGCGTTTGTTTGGGAAATCTATAATCTGACCCGCACTGACCTAACCCATCGATAGATGCATCAATCAGGTGGCCACCGCCTCAATCAAGCGATTCGTTCATGCTCGCCGGATTAATTTTCGGCAGCATCATCATCATCATCATCATCATCATCGTCGTTGTCCCAATTATGGAACTGCTTTTTTTGGTATTTATTAACTCATTTGCATGAAGTTGTGTGTTGGTTGTTGGACTTCTTCTAATCCAGAGAGGAGGGCAGCTCCATGACGAAAGCAAAAAAAAAAACCAGAGGGTAAGGTTGAAGATGGAAATGAAGATGGAGCATCATCATCTCGCAATCGGTTTTTTAAAGAGCTATAAAAACCCGAGTTGGCTTTGAGTTGATCATCAGTTGGCTTCCAGCTTCCCATCTTCAGCTACGTGAAGTTCCATAGTTTTCGAACCCCCTAAGCAAGAAACTTCCAGCAATGAAGGTGAATACATATATATATTTTCCAACTTAATCTTAATCTATATATTTGATATCTATCCAGATCTTTGTGTGTCTCCTGGCTGCTTTGGTTGCCACCACGTCGGCTGGCTTTATTGGCGGCTCTGGCGGCGGTGGCGGTGGCTACAGCTATGGCGTTGGCTCTGGAGGCGGTGGTCACCAGGAGGTCAAGACCATTCAGGTGATTCACCAGGAGGGCGGCGGTTATTCCGGCGGCGGTCATGGTGGCTACTCCGGCGGCGGTCATGGTGGCTTCTCCGGTGGTCATCAGGAGATCAAGACTGTGAAGGTGATCCACCAGGAGGGTGGTCATGGTGGTTACTCTGGCGGCGGTCATGGAGGATACTCTGGCGGCGGTCATGGAGGCTATTCCAGCGGTGGACACCAGGAGATCAAGACCGTCAAAGTGATCCACGAGGAGGGACACGCTCTCGGAGGCGGCGGCGGTTATGCCGGCGGTTTCTCTGGCCATGGACATGGACACGGCGGCCACCAGGAGGTGAAGACCATTAAGGTGATCCACGAGGAGGGTCATGGTCATGGTCATGGCGGTCATGGTGGTTACTCGGGCGGCGGTCATGGTGGTTACTCCAGCGGTGGACACCAGGAGATCAAGACTGTCAAGGTTATTCACCAGGAGGGAGGTCATGGCGGTTACTCTGGCGGTCATGGAGGCTTCTCTGGCGGCCATGGAGGTTACTCCAGCGGTGGACACCAGGAAATTAAGACCGTCAAGGTTATCCACGAGGAAGGACACGCTCTTGGCGGCGGCGGCGGTTATGCTGGTGGTTTCTCTGGCCACGGATATGGTGGCCACGAGGAGGTCAAGACCATTAAGGTGATCCATGAGGAAGGCGGCCACAGCCATGGTCATGAACATCATGATCATGGACATGGCGCCGGACACGGTGGCTTCGAGGAGGTGAAGACCATCAAGGTGATCCACGAGGAGGGTCATGGTCATGGCCATGGTGGTGGTCATGTTCATGGTCCCAGCAACGAGTACCTGCCCCCTGTGGCAGCTCCTCCCTCTGGCTACCTGCCCCCAGCCTCCAGCTGGAAATAAGCTGTGATTCGAGCCATACTGATCCTTGAGTCTCTTGTTAAGTAGTTTTAAGCATCCCTAATTTTTTTCCAATCCCATCTCTTTTTTTTACTGTTGTCTCCATTCCAACTCTCACTTGTTGAAAAACAAAACAAAAATACAAATATAAAAAACCATTTGTAAATTATAAACATAAAAGTGTGTTTTAATTTAAAATCATAAGATTTTAAATCAAAGTTGGGGATTGAATTTACTCAATGGATAGGTTTCCCTTTAAATTGTTGAGAAACATTATTTTAAATTCATAAATTTAAGTCTCTGCTTTTATTTTTTGTAACCTTTAGAGATTGTTATTTCTTCCAGAAAGCATGTTAAGAATTTAAGAATGTCTCTGCTTTAAATATTTAGGTTTTTCAAAGGCTCGAGTTATTAGAAAAAATAATTTAAAAGTTTTCGACAATGTGTAAGTTAGTTTTTGGGACTCTAAGTGAATGGTTTTTCTTTCAAAAACATTTGTTAAGTCTTTAAGAACCTGTGTTCTTTAAGTATAACCATTTTTATTACCTTGTATTATTTAAATTCTCTGATTTTAAAATATATTTTTAAATAGAAAATTGGGATAGGGCTTTGCCCTTATTTCTGGAAGACCTGTAAAATATACAAGGCCAGGAAACATAAGAAATCTATCATCTAAAATATGTGTTGTGGTTTCAATTAATAATCTTTTTTATTAAATATATATTTATAAACTTAAATTAAATAAAACTCTACTCCTTATATACAAAGAATGTAGGTTTAGTATTTTCTGATTATAAATTATTAGATTTTTAGCTTCTTTTTTTAATTTCCTTAAAATTAAATTCCCAAAATAGATTCTTTAATCTTTCGTTTTACGGTTTGTGTTGGTCTGCTTTAATTTATCATTTTTTAACTTCTCTTCTTCGTTCCCACTTTCGATCCGCTGTTCAATTTCACTTTCAAGTCGTTGGATGAATCGTTCGATCATTCGATCGATCGAATTAACATAATCATGGTCGCTTCATCCGAATTAGCGGTAGCTCAACGACCTGTTCATCGACGATTTTATGCATCTCATGGATTTGTTTTGTATCTAAAGGGTTTTCGTTTTTTAATATATCTTAATGTTTATTTACTGAATCTTATGGTTGTAATCCAGTGTCTTAGCTACTATGCTGTATTTGTGGGCACAGAAGTAATAATTAAGATCAGTTTTGGGTTATTAATATTACAAGATCATATAATGTTTATGGTTCTTAGATATTTCAAATTGATTTGACATTGAGTTTATAAAATAGAAATTCATTTTAGTTAGGTTTCTTATGGTTTTTAGATATTTTAAATTGATTTGACATTGATTAAAAAGAAGATAAATTAATTTTAGTTAGGTTTCTTATAGTTTTTACATATTTAAATTGATTTTACTTTGATTAAATATAAGATAAATTAATTTTAGTTAGGTTTCTTATGGTTTTTACATATTTAAATTGATTTTACTTTGATTAAGTAAAAGAGAAATTAATTTTAGTTAGCTAAAGTATTGATTTTGAGACTTTAATTATTTAAATACACGTTTATTCTTTATTCTTGGGGTTTTCAATTTTAAATATCAGTTAACTTCTAGTTCTATTAATTGATATATAATATAATAATAACATAATTATATTATATTATATTGATATTATTTTTATTATTTTCCATTTTAAACATTTTAATATAAATTATTTGTATTTTTTTGAACAGTTTTGTACTTTTTAATGTTGTTTAATAATTATTCCTTGAGTCTACATATTAATTTCTGTGCCGTAGAGTGCAGTGCTTCATGTTTCATTATGAAATTAATTAAAATAAATAACTTTATATATAAATAAATATATAAATTAAATCTCTTTTGGAATTTAGATATATTAATATAAATCTTTTGGAATTTTTATATATTAAATATAATTTAAATCCGATTTTTTTAATTTTTTATATAAAAAAATATTTAAATCTCTTGGAATCTATATAATTTAAATATCTTTTGGAGTGTTTTTTATAAATATTAATAAATAAATATAAATCTCTTTTGAAATTAAGATATATAAATATAAATCTCATGGTATTTATATACATAAAATACAATTTAAATCCGTTTTTTTGAATTTTTATATATAAAATATAATTTAAATCCGTTTTTTTTTTAATTTTTTTAACTAAAATATAATTTAAATCTCTTTTGGAATTTATATAAAATATAATTTAAATCTCTTTTGGAATTTTTATATATATTAATAAATAAATATAAATCTCTTTTGGAATTAAAATAAATCTCATGGAATTTATATACATAAAATATAATTTAAATCCGTTTTTTTTGAATTTTTATGTATAAAATAATATTTAAATCTCTTTTGGAATTCATATAAAATTTAATTTAAATCTCTTTTGGAATTTTTATAAATATTAATAAATAAATATAAATCTCTTTTGAAATTAAGATATATAAATATAAATCTCATGGTATTTATATATATAAAATATAATTTAAATCCGTTTTTTTGAATTGTTATATATAAAATATAATTTAAATCTCTTTTGGAATTCATATAAAATTTTGAAATTAAGATATATAAATATAAATCTCATGGAATTTATACACATAAAATATAATTTAAATCCGTTTTTTTGAATTGTTATATATAAAATATAATTTAAATCTCTTTTGGAATTCATATAAAATTTAATTTAAATCTCTTTTGGAATCTGAAATGCACTTTTTTCACTTGTGTGGCCACATTGTGTCCACTCGTCTCCTCTTGACCACATTCCTCTCGACAATCCGATTGCTCTGACCAAGATACTGATGGAGCGGCAGTGGTCGTGGCGAGGAGGAGGTGACCCCCAGTGGAAACTCGCTGGTGGGCCGCCACTTGGAGGGCAGCCAGGGAGTGTCATAGTCCTTGAACTGGCTCTGAAACTTGCTCTTCTCCTTGGTAACTGCATCCTGGTAATTTCCACTCCCCTTCTGATCCTGGTGAACCTTCAGATTCAGCAATAGTTCACCATCATCATCGATGAGATTGTACAACTGGACGCCTTTGGCCTCTCTCAAGGGATGGGCTCGTTCCAGGCGAATCTGAGGCTTCACCCGGGGCTTAAGGATCGGTGCCGCCGGCCTTTGGTAGCGCGAAGAGCGATCCTGTGACTGGAGTTGCCGGAGTATGCCCAGGGGCAGCAGGAGATCCGATTCGAAGGGCATGAAGCCACTGGCCCGCACCTTGATGATGTTCCTCCGCAACATCGGTGGCTGCTGCACTCCGCCGTAGCTCCTCACCAAATCCACAAGGATCAGGAGCAGCGGCAGACTCAATGTACTCAGCAGAGTCAGCATTTTAGCTCATCCTGGTCACCAGGATCACTTTCACAAAATACAAAATGTATATATTACAGTATTATAAAAACAGTAACAAAAAATAAAAACAAACAAATTAAAGACGAGACTGGGAGCGACGGAGGAGCGCGTTCTGGGCCCGTGTTGCACCAACTGAACTCGGGACTCGGGAAACTCGAACTCGAGACTCCGTCGACAGCTCCATGCAATGCGCTCGTAAAAGCGAATTAATTAGGGAAAATACCGTACGGTACATGGCCGGCACAGTGGTGAGAAAGATATTTTTAAAGACAAATTAAATCTATATTTGAAAAATATTTTATATCACAATTTTTTATACAAATAAAATCTTAAAAAACGCATAACTAAGGCAAAAATGCATTAATTTCAATTCGGAAAGCTGTTCTATGCTAGTTTTTATAATGCTAACAAATCTGTATATTAATTTTTATAACACAGCCAATTTAAAATTTTGGCAAATTTTCCAGTTTTAGCAATATAAAATTTAGTCATAAAATTTCAGACAAAAAATTTTAAAAATTGTTTTTCTCCCAGACATGGCTAGATCGATTCGGCTTTTAATGCTGATCAAGAATATATATGATTTATGGGGTCGGAAATAACTCCTTCTTCTGACTAAAATTAAAATACTATTCCTTGTCCTTAAATTCAACGATAATTTTATATGTCAATTTATGATAAATCAATGATTAAAAAAATTATAACTAAGCCAAAAATACATTAATTTCAATTCGGAAAGCTGTTCTGTGCAAGTTTTTATAAGGTTAAACAGTCTGCATATTTAGTTTTACAATTCACTCAATTTAAAATTTTGTCAAATTTTACATTCTTAACTATATCAAATTTAATGATAAAAATTTGAAGAAAAAAATCAAAAAAATTGTTTTCCCCTAGAGATGACTAGATCGATTCGGTTTTTGATGCTGATCAAGAATATATATGATTTATGTGGTCGGAAATGACTACTTTATGAGTTACATGCTTCTAACCGAAATCAGAATACTCTTGCAAAAGTATAATATACATTCGTATTTCCTGCAATGTACAATCAAAAATACCTTAAATATTCATTTAGTTTCTTGTGCATTTTCTCACCTATGAAACCACTATGCCTATGATATGTCCAACACTTTTGAATTGAAAATAAAAACATAACTGGCCGAGTGTGTTTATTGTTACTAAGACTGGGGGACAGGGGACTCCGGGGGCAGGTTGTTGTGGCTGAGGCGGCTCTTTCTTCTATTATTTCCTCTATTATGTTATGAGCAGCACAAATTTATTAAAACATCAAGTGAGTCAGCAGCAGCGAGTGTGTGATACCTGATTTATGCCAGAGTTAACAAGAATAATTCTTTGAATGCTGCCACTTTTGTGGAATGACATTAAACTGGTTCACGCGAGTTGTTGGGCCATTATGTTGGCCATTAAGGCCTGAACCCACCGTCCACTCTCGCTGCCACACACATACACTATATACAAATCCATGTAATATATACTATATCTATATATCCGACTCATTAGCATTTAAACAAAAGCTGAAAAAAGAGTCAAATCTCTATGCAAATTGACTGAAAAGTAAAAAAGAAGCTAATAGAATTTTCACTGCAGTTGACACTGGTCCACTGATCACTCTCACTGCTCCACATTTGCATACCGGACTGTATGGTACAGTGCGGGTCATGGTCGTATGGGTTTAATGCCAAATATATATAAAGGTTTTCAGGGGAATAAGAAGAAACTACTGGAATAAGGGGAATATTATGGTTTCAACAAGATACATGATTCATTAATAGCTTATAAAATATATTTAAGTATTCTTAAGAGGCTTAAAAAATTACACTAAATTCTAAATTTATATATAATGTCTATATATCAAATTTGATGAAAATCTGTTGAAAACTGGAAAAGTTATAATTTTTTTTCTTAAACTTTTCCGATCGATCCTATGGCAGCTATATATATGTATATATATAGTCCACCGATTTGCCATGCTCCGACTTATATACTTGTAAAATTACATAGAAGAATAACTCCTTAGTTTCATTGAAATAGCTTAAATTTGTTCCAAAACAAATCTCGCACATCTGTGCATATGATTCCCAACTGGTTCTAACCTCCCCGGAACGAAGTGTCTTCTACCGTCCACATCTCAGAAATGTGTTGTGTTACAAAAGTTGCAAGTCATTGTTTATTAGTGCTCAAAGTTAGTAACTGATCATACATACTTACTGGTACATTGATACATAGATACTTACTGATCATAGTTACTTACTAGTCATAGTTACTTAATGTTCATTGATACTTACTGATCATAGTTAATTACTGGACATAGATACTTAATGTTGAAAGATCCTTACTGATCCTCTACATTTAACAACCGTTTTTCTGGCAGTTTTATTATATAGTATTCCGATTTTCATAAAATTCTATAATAATAAAAGATAGCTTTGAATCAAATTGGATAAAAATATTTTAAAAACTGTAAAAGTTATAATTTGTTTTTCTAATAATTTCATTCCATTCGCTTTTTTTATATTTCCAGCAACAAACATATCCTGCTGAACCGCACTGTACTCATCCATAATCAGAGGCTAACGGTAGCTAATTGATTGATCAGTTGATTGACATATTGTCTTAATCACAAACACATTTTCGGTGATGTATTTTTTATAATTTTTATTATTATTTATTTCCCATAGACTTTTGGCTTACCAACTAAATTTAAGAACAAAAAAAAAGTTGAAAAAAAAATGGACTCATATAGGTATATATATATATATGTATATATAGATAAATATGAGGAGAGATATCTGTACAATTAGAGAGTATCAACTTAAGATTAAGACTAGAATTATGCTCTGAATTTCTGAGGGCTTAACTACAGATTTTCTATAACTTCGATACGATTTCCTTTCAAAAGGGTTTCTTTTTTGTTTGTTTTGTTAATCTCTGGTTAAGTATGAATATTTACATATACAAATACTGTTGCTCTAAAAATTATAGAATTAATTAGGAGATATTGATATTTAGCTTTCTGTTTGTTTCTTTAGTCCAAAGTAATGTGCGGATTTGTGTAGGTGAAACCATGGAACTGCTTCTGATCCATGGAGGCCAGGATCTCCTTATCGATGGGGGTGAGACGGACTCGTTCCCTGGTGAAAACACGATCGAAATATTGCGTATCCAAAGGATGTTTCTAAGTGGGGAAAATATTTAAATTAATATATATAGAAATCTGTGAAGAAATGTTATTAAAAGCTTACCACTTGTGGCTTGAAGGGCGGCTCAATTTGACGCTTTTCCAGCAGACCCCAATCGATGGGTCGGAAAAATATGTGATCCGCTATATCGCCAGCGGGACTGTACTGCGAACCAATGCGCTTCGTATAGTCCTTTTCCAGCAACTGTAAAATTATACAAAAAATAATATTAATATATATTAATTAATATAGTATTATAAATCGTACCCCACGGAGTATGCCGGTTGCCTCGGCTGATATATAAACTGGGAACCATGGAATTTCATTGCAAATCGACCAGAAAAGCTCATCCTCATCGCAGCCACTAAATGGCGACTGTCCGATTAGCATTTCATAGAGCAGCACACCAAACGACCACCAATCCACATTTTGATTGTACTTTTCACCCTGGAAAATAAAGAAATAGTAATAAATTTTAATACATTAATAAATATATAAAGTAAATAATCAATATTATACTCTAACACGCTCATTATCGTATCCAAAACATCGTTTACTTTGATGTATTGCAATTTTAAATATTACAAAATATTTAATTTAACTTAAATGTATCAATATTTAAAGTATTTGCCCTTTTGAAAAAGATTTATATCAAAAATGTTAAAAAGATAAAGTTAAAAATCCCATAACTTAGACAAAAATCCATTAATTTTTAGTCGGAAAGCTTTTCTACGATAGTTTTTATTAGCTTAACAAATCTGCATCCTAAGTTTAAAATATTTAAAAATTAAAATTTTTCTTTTGAAATTTTGGCAAATTTTAACTTCAAAATATTCAACATTTTTTTCAAAAAATAGATTTCCACCAGACATGGCTAGATCGATTCCCCTTTTAATGCTGATCAATAATATATATAGTTTATGTGGTCGGAAATGACTCCTTCACCGCGTTTCACCCCCTAAGGGTTAAAAAACCCCCGTCGGCAGCATCGGCGACCAACAAGTGTGTTCCAACTGGGATGTATGCGAGAGCGGAGAAATTCCTAGGGTCAAAGAGAGCGAGAGATCTGGCGTGAGCGCAGAGCACGAGAGAGCGGGCGCAGCGAAAAAGGGCGAGCGAAATGCACAGCTACGACGATGCGAAAGAAGTTGGGAAGATGGATAGATCAGAATTTGCCAAAGTGAAAAATTGACGCGTGCTGCGGCTGCTGCTCAACAAAAAGTGTTTTAGTGTGGAAAAAACGCTTAAAAATATCAACAAAAGTAGTAAATCGTTAATACTAACTGCATTTAATGCGGGAACCCTGAAAGCAGCATCAAAACAGTGCGTTTTTAAGGAATTTCTGAAAATGCACAATAGGCGCCGGTTTTTTTTTCAACTGGTGTTGTGCGAGCAGCAAAACGAATAAGAAAATCGCAAAAACTGTGCAAGGTGTCAAAGTAAAGTGAATAAATAACTAGAAATCTACTTGATGAAAAAGAAAAGACATTATCAACAACAATTAGCAAGTGCATAACGAAGTAAAACCACCAAACCGGCAATGAAATCACGTGAGACTCCCGTGGATAACGGCGTTCGCCAGCAGCCCCCGTTATGTGCATGCATATGTATGTGTGTGTGTGTGCTGGAATCTGCATATTTGCGAGTGGGTGCTTGGCAAGTGCGAAGAAGATGCATATATATAACGGTTTTTCTTGCGCCGCTTGCGGTGCTTGTGGCGTACGTGCGGTAAATTGCAGCCGGACTTGGATGTTTGTAATTTAATTTCTGATTCAACAAGAAAGAGAATAAAAGAAGAGGACAATAAAAAAAATTGGTGAGTAAAAATTGTATGTATTTTTTATATTAAAAACATACCGATTCCCTCTTACACATAATACAAGAATTTGTTTTTTTTTAAATTTTTAAACTTGACATGAGCTTAGGGGTACCTTAAAAAAAGGTTTAAAGGTAGCTTAACAAATCTCCATACTAAGTTTAAAATATTAAAAATTTAAATTTTTCTTTTGAAATTTTGGCAAATTTTAACTATATAACCACTTAAAAATATTCAACATTTTTTTCAAAAAATAGATTTCCACCAGACATGGCTAGATCGATTCCCCTTTTAATGCTGATCAATAATATATATAGTTTATGGGGTCGGAAATGACTCCTTCACCGCGTTTCACCCCCTAAGGGTTAAAAAAACCCCCGTCGGCAGCATCGGCGACCAACAAGTGTGTTCCAACTGGGATGTATGCGAGAGCGGAGAAATTCCTAGGGTCAAAGAGAGCGAGAGATCTAGCGTGAGCGCAGAGCACGAGAGAGCGGGCGCAGCGAAAAAGGGCGAGCGAAATGCACAGCTACGACGATGCGAAAGAAGTTGGGAAGATGGATAGATCAGAATTTGCCAAAGTGAAAAATTGACGCGTGCTGCGGCTGCTGCTCAACAAAAAGTGTTTTAGTGTGGAAAAAACGCTTAAAAATATCAACAAAAGTAGTAAATCGTTAATACTAACTGCATTTAATGCGGGAACCCTGAAAGCAGCATCAAAACAGTGCGTTTTTAAGGAATTTCTGAAAATGCACAATAGGCGCCGGTTTTTTTTTCAACTGGTGTTGTGCGAGCAGCAAAACGAATAAGAAAATCGCAAAAACTGTGCAAGGTGTCAAAGTAAAGTGAATAAATAACTAGAAATCTACTTGATGAAAAAGAAAAGACATTATCAACAACAATTAGCAAGTGCATAACGAAGTAAAACCACCAAACCGGCAATGAAATCACGTGAGACTCCCGTGGATAACGGCGTTCGCCAGCAGCCCCCGTTATGTGCATGCATATGTATGTGTGTGTGTGTGCTGGAATCTGCATATTTGCGAGTGGGTGCTTGGCAAGTGCGAAGAAGATGCATATATATAACGGTTTTTCTTGCGGCGCTTGCGGTGCTTGTGGCGTACGTGCGGTAAATTAGCAGCCGGACTTTGATGTTTGTAATTTAATTTCCGATTCAACAAGAAAGAGAATAAAAGAAGAGGACAATAAAAAAATTGGTGAGTAAAAATTGTATGTATTTTTTATATTAAAAACATACCGATTCCCTCTTACTCATAATGCAAAAATTTGTATTTATTAAAATTTTTAAGCTTGACATGAGCTTTGGGGTACCTTAAAAAAAGGTTAAAAGGTAGCTTAACAAATCTCCATACTAAGTTTAAAATATTAAAAATTTAAATTTTTCTTTTGAAATTTTGGCAAATTTTAACTATATAACCACTTAAAAATATTCAACATTTTTTTCAAAAAATAGATTTCCACCAGACATGGCTAGATCGATTCCCCTTTTAATGCTGATCAAGAATATATATAGTTTATGGGGTCGGAAATGACTCCTTCACCGCGTTTCATCCCCTAAGGGTTAAAAAAACCCCGTCGGCAGCATCGGCGACCAACAAGTGTGTTCCAACTGGGATGTATGCGAGAGCGGAGAAATTCCTAGGGTCAAAGAGAGCGAGAGATCTGGCGTGAGCGCAGAGCACGAGAGAGCGGGCGGCAGCGAAAAAGGGCGAGCGAAATGCACAGCTACGACGATGCGAAAGAAGTTGGGAAGATGGAAAGATCAGAATTTGCCAAAGTGAAAAATTGACGCGTGCTGCTGCTGCTGCTCAACAAAAAGTGTTTTAGTGTGGAAAAAACGCTTAAAAATATCAACAAAAGTAGTAAATCGTTAATACTAACTGCATTTAATGCGGGAACCCTGAAAGCAGCATCAAAACAGTGCGTTTTTAAGGAATTTCTGAAAATGCACAATAGGCGCCGGTTTTTTTTTTTCAACTGGTGTTGTGCGAGCAGCAAAACGAATAAGAAAATCGCAAAAACTATACAAGGTGTCAAAGTAAAGTGCATAAATAACTAGAAATCTACTTGATGAAAAGCAAAAGACGTTATCAACAACAATTAGCAAGTGCATAACGAAGTAAAACCACCAAACCGGCAATGAAATCACGTGAGACTCCCGTGGACAACGGCGTTCGGCAGCAGCCCCCGTTATGTGCATGCATATGTATATGTGTGTGTGTGTGCTGGAATTTCTGCATATTTGCAAGTGGGTGCTTGGCAAGTGCGAAGAAGATGCATATATATAACGGTTTTCCTTGCGGCGCTTGCTGTGTTTGCGGTACATTAACCGTTTGAAAAGAAAGACATTTGAATATTGTGTGTATATATAAACCAAGTAAATAAAAAAGTTCAGTGCGTGCAGTCGCGTAATTTGACAGTTCCTTCTATTCCATTCCTTTCCATTACTTATTTTTTCTTCTATTTTTTTAAGTGTAAGTGCAATTATTTTTGTTGTTTTTTTGAGTGCAAGTGCAATTTTTTTTCTTTTTTTAAGTGTAAGTGCAATTATTTTTGTTGTTTTTTTTCAGTGCAAGTGCAATTTTTTTAATCTTTTTTTTAAGTGTAAGTGCAATTTCCCAAATTTTTGTAAGTGCAAGTGAAATTAATAAAAAGTTTATAATTCTGTGTGTTAAAATGGAAAAGGATTGGAAAAGGAAGGAAAGAAATTAAATCTCGTAAGTGGCCGGACTTTGCTGTTTGTAATTAAATTTCCAATTGAACAAGAAAGAGATGAAAGACAGACGAAAATGAGAAAATTGGTGAGTGACAATTTTATGTATTTTTTATATTGAAAACATACCGATTCCCTCTTACTCATAATGCAAAAATTTACATTTATTTAAATTTTTAAACTTTGACATGAACTTGGGGGTACCTTAAAAAATAGGTTAAAAAAAATTTTAGTGTGCTTTTCAAAAGTTTGACAAGGTAAACGTCACTTTTGTATTTTAATATACCTATTTATGCTTTAAAAATTTTGAAATTCTTCGATTTAACTATGAAAGAGTATAAAATGTTGGAGAACAAACCCAAATGTTGCCAAAATGCTGCGCAACATTCGAATGAAGACAAATGTTGCGCAACATCCGAATGAAGACAAATGTTGCTAAAGACACATAGCTGTTTTCTTTGTGATTTTTATATTTAAAGGGAAAAGAAAAAGGTATCAAAACTATGTTGTCTCCTTGACACCACAATTTGGTGGGTTGGAATGCAATATGAGCAAGGCAGTGGCGATTTTCCAAGTTTTGTAACCCTTTGCAACAACCTTAATTTCGGACAATTTTGGGTATGTAACCGTAGTTGAAGTTGCACCACGAATCGCAGATGGACGGCTTGAGGCAGGTGGTCTCCAGGGGCGGGGGTTTCGGAAATGGGTTGCGGCAAAACTCGGAGAAGCTGGGATATTTGGCCTTCGGCCTTTCGCAGGAGCCAGATCTAATGGGGTGCTTCGGTATAGGTGGAACAATAGACTTCTTAGGTGGAGTGTTTGGCATCTTTGACTGCGAACTTGGGTTGTTGGCTGTTTTTCTACCCAAAAACTCTTCAGGGTCGAAGAGACCGAGGTCCAGCTTATTGTTGTTTTCCGTACGTCGGTGCCGAGGAGGGTTTGGCTGTGATGGGAACTCGTTCCAGGTGCGCGAATACGTCCTTTCGGATAACTTTTGGGGTTTGTAGTGAAAATAGTCCAAACCCCGTGCCACATTGGCAGACGAATCCCTCTGGCTCATTGTGCCAGTGTCATTGAACGCCGGCCTCCTGTGTTCCGAGTGCCACCTGTAGTCCATGCGGTTCGTCTCCTGCCAGCGGGTTGTTTCGACCTTCGACCTACCTGGCGGCTGCCGAGGTATGAGGTCCTTGCTCACCGGCATCCGGGGGCAGGGCTTCGGATTTGTGTGGTACAACATATTGCACAACGGTTGCACCATCGAACCGATCATGTTGCACGCTTCCGGGGACCTCGAAAACATAAAAGAATAACCCTTCGACCTCACGAGGCTAGCCATAATTTTGAAAGCCAAACTTAACACAAATCATATAAAAAAAAATAACTACAAATTTTGTTGTCAAAATAGTTAAAAACGACTAAAAAAGAAATTTACAACGATTACTATCGAAACTTAACGCTTAGATGTTGTTCCATTGAACATAAGGTTGAGACTGAGGATGTTAAAGCACACACTCGGGCATATTGGGGATTGGATTGAAGTAAGAGTCATGGATTACTGGATCGTTTAAATATATACATATGTATTCAAATGGAGTATTCCGGGGCTCAAAACTTTACTGAATATATATAAGCTCAGAGCCAAACTAGGACGGTAATAATCAGAATTTGGAAATGTTTAGGCACCTTAAATATGCTTATAAATATACGATAATTTTTAGATATAGAAGAGGTTGATACATGTAAATCATAACCCCTTAAAAACTTTTTATCTTAGCTTCAAATGGATCTATTCCACAATAACTGCCAACTTCTTGTTGAAATTTGTATACAATATTGATAAGTTGTATTTCTTATACTATAGTTCTATAGTTTTTAATTACCTTAATGATTTCGGGCGCCATATAATCAGGTGTGCCGCAAAAGCTATCGGCCGTCTTGTCCAAATAGATTTGCAATTTGCACATGCCAAAATCGGCAATACGAACATGTCCCTCGTAATCCAAAAGGACATTATCCAGCTTGAGATCCCTGTTGACAAAATAAATACACATAATTTAGTTTTAATTTCATTTTCTTTTTATAACAAACTTACCTATAGATAATGCCCTTTTTGTGCAGGAACTTGAGGCCCGATATAATCTCGGCGCCATAGAATCTGGCCCGCTCCTCGGAGAAGCGTCCGCTCTCCTGGATGTGGAACATGAGATCACCGCCATTTAGATACTCCATCACAAAGAACAGGTGGCTCTGGGGGTTACATTTAAATATAATGAATATAACAGTGTTATCTATATCATAAATCATATTAATGACACTTTTAATTATTATAAAGATGTTAATGATATTGAAAACCATATCACATGTCGTTTTTTCGAACGGACGAGAGACTGAGTGCGAGAACCAACGAGAGATTTTTGTTCATTCTGGGGGAGATCGTCCCCCAAAGTCATAAATAATTAAAATACCTTCTAATCGGTGTCAATGTTGCGAATTGCTGATGCTGATGCAGATGCAGATGCAGATGCAGAATTCGCAGCGAGAGAACACAGTGAGATCGGACAGACAGGCACCCTGATCTACATGATGTCCGATCGACGTTGTCGTCGTCGTGTGCCCCAATCGATGGCCAGACCCCAGGGCTCTAATTATAGATCATTTTACCTTTTCTTGGGCTAATTATAGCCAGATAGGCCAATTAGATTGTTCTATATATTCGAACACACCTTCGATTGCTGACCCTAATTGAAAAGGTGCGAAAACTTGCTCTATGTGGGGTTTTTTAAGGTATTTTAAGTTTTGACTGGAATTATTTATGGAAATTTCTAACAAATCTTGGGGTGTTTTATTAATTATTTTTATGTTTCTTCATATTTAATTGATTTTTGAAGTTGAATTTAAATAAATTCAAGCTAAAAGTTGTTATTATTCATTTTAATTTGAGGGTCAATGACTTTTAGTGACCTTAAACAAGGTCTGTGGCTTCCTCAACAGGTGGCTAAGCAGACAATGACTCATTTGCTTATTAGTTTCAACCTTTTAATGGTTTGTTTAAATGTAATAAGTCAAAATATTACATGTTCAATTTAGGTATACATTTAATCAGAAATTTAACAAAGAATAAGGAAGTTATGTTTGTATTTGTTGCTCTAAGAATAATTCTTGATATATCCCAAAACTTCTCTTAATTATTTTCTTGTAATTAAACAATAATTAAACTAATATCCTTCTCAAAACTCACCTCCGTTTGGAAGGTGCAAAACAGATGACACAGATAGGGATGTTTTGTGCCCAGGGCCAGGACCTTGCGTTCAATCAGCGTCGAGTCCACATCATCGTCCTCCAGTACGACATCCTTTTTGAGGCACTTGATGGCATAATAGTACGTGGTATCACGCAGCTCGGCCAACAGAACCTATTCAAAAAAACCATAAAATTTCATTAATTTAATATATATAATTAATAAATCCAGACAAAGACTCACCTTGCCGAAACTTCCCTTGCCGAGAACGGCGAGAAAGTGGAAATCATCTACCGAATAATTCTTAAATCTAGGTATTACTGTTGCTGGCGCAGTGAAACGTCCGGATTTTTGGAATTGTGAATATGTATATGAAGTTTCTGTTTAAGATTTACATAGATCCAGAGACAGAGTTGATAATAGAGACGCAGAAATAGAGAGATATAGTGATTAGGGTTAGTTTAAATTAATAATACAGCTGGGAAATATATATTAGAGCATGTCTATGAGAGTACTGGGTCACTTGAGTGGGAAGTTATATATATCTAAGGATCTTATATTATTCGGCATACCATCGTGTTCCTCGCTAGGCTCGATTTTATACGCTGGATTCAAACTGGGGGGAGTGCTGGGCGAATCGCGGGCTTCACGGGCTCCTAATTTATGTTGTTTATTATTTAAAAATAAATTAGTTGGATTCTATCAAAGATCTGGGTGTGTTTCAGATATATTTTATATGATACTAAATTATTTATTTATGAGAACTTGATTTTGCCAAGATATAAGGAGAAAGAGATAGTTTAAATTATTATTATGGTAGTATCTTTAAAAGTTCTTATATAAATCCAAAATAAATTCGTAGTTATTATTAAAAGAAGGGATAATATATGTTTATTAATATTTAAATAGTTTTTGGTTCCAAAGAACTTTAAAAGAGTTCAAATATTTATTTAAAGAACTACCATTTTCTGCCTCATAACATAACTATTAATTCATTTTGTAAGGAAAATAATTTATTAACAAAAAAAAATGGAATATTATTAACAATAACATTTACTTGACATCTGGAAATTATATCTGTTATATTTTTAAAATATTTAATTATGCTTTAAATGTTTAATAAAAAGCTTTGTGGAATTACTCCCATTAATTACATTAAAAAAATTTCAATTTTAAGCAAAATCAAATCCCATAATTAATAATAATTTAATGTCCTTCATTGTTTCCCCATTTTTATACACATTTCGGGCTGTGTGTGTGTGCATTTTGTATGGCTTTTACCTCGCTTCACGTAGTTGAGTGCCTCGACGATGAGTTTCTGATTGACACCACATAAATTGGCCGTGAGCCGCTCGCATTTCTTGTGACAATTCACGTCACATTCTATGGGTTCGATTTTTTGTATATGAATGTATGTATGAATATTTGCCCACGCATCGCATTCGAGAAGAGAAATTAATTGCAAACAAATTGTTATTAAATTTTGAGCAGTATGAAAAATGTGTGTGCGTTTCCTGTTGCGATTTATTATTGGCTGCCAAGCTTTGGTTTTTGCAATTTTAACAATTGCCCCAAACAATGAAGGGAATATTTCTACCTATATTCTATATTTTCTGTATAGAAATATTGTTCTAAAATTATATATTTTAAGTCTAACAATATTTTTAGGCACAAATTTGATTGTTTACATATTTGTTTAGGTATTTTTTATAGTAAGAAATAAGCTAAACAATTTATTTAGATTTAATAATTATAGTAAATACGAATTTAAGGGTTGAAAGATTGTAAAAGTTAAATTATTGTATCTATTATATGCCTCTTTTAAGTTACCCCAAGTATTTTTGATCAGTGTAGATTAATTGCATTCATGACATTCGATTTCCGCTAATTAATTTTGGCTGCTGCTGGGCGGGATGTTCGGTTCGTGGATCACAAACAATGTGAATCCGCTATTTGATTGCATTTTCAACCAATTGACCGGATATCACGTATACGCAGTGTGGTAACGAAAGTCAAAACAAACGAATTTTGTACATTCCCGTTCGAAGTTTATATAATCAATGAATTGACTTGGCTATCTGGCTCATAACTGCGTTGTTTTTATATTGTTTTGTACCGCAGAGGGGAATGTATAAATATATCTATGCAGATATAGCTTTACTATATATCTTCTAGACATTGTTCCCACGAAAAAAAAGAGATCTCGCTGCTCCGAAACAGACACGACGATGACCTAAACAATTTGTTTTCATTTGTTGTTTTGGCTAAAAGTAAAATGCCAACTTGTCGATTTTCTTCTTCCTCCTCTCTCTCTCTCTCCCTTTTTAAGAATTTTCCTTTTGTTCCACTCTCTCTCTTTCTCTCTATCGGGAATTTTCTCATCTTTTGTGTGGTTTTCTTTTGCGGCTTCTGGCAGCGGATCTCTGATCTCTCTGGCAAATTCTCGCACAAACATCAAGGAAACGCCACCACGGAACAGTAATCAACGATAAAATTCTCGACGAAAAATTACATAAAACACGAAATCGAGCAAAAGAAATAGGAAGTCGATTTGCCATCAAAACATAGGTGCATTTTATCTATAGAAAATGCCTAATTTTATATGATTTTTCTAGGCAAAATACAAATTGTAATTGTAGCAATGAGGAGTAGTAGGAGAGGTAGTAAAACACATAATATTCACCAATATTCAATAGCAACTGGGAATAAAGGAATCGTTTTAACAACAGTTTTTAGAACCTTTTTTCTATAACAATTATTAATGGTCGTAATAGTTTTTAATAACATTATACCACAAATGTTTCCAACAAGCTCATTTTACCACAACATTCAACAACTGTTTTCAATTACAGTTCTCAACCATAATTTCCAACAACCGTGTTTAATAACACTTTTATAACAACAGTATTCAACAATACTTTTCAACAACAAATCGAAAGTTTACACAAAACCAAATAATCTCTAACTAAAAAAAACAAATTGATGGTTTTTTTTTAAGAAAATGCTATTTCACAAAAAAACACAACACCAATTAAATACCATTTCATCAAGTTACTCAAAGTTATTAATTTCTCACTATTAATTCCCATTTAGATGTCGCATAAAAATATGAAAAGCTCCACATTTTCACAGCTAATAACTCACAATTTCCCTCCAGCTGCTGACTGTCTGAGCTGGTCAATGAACTTTTGTCATTGTTCACAACGTTCTGCGCTTTTCCCAGAGATGATTTCGTATAATGATTTCACGTATGATTTCACTTCCTAGTAAACGGTTCGAATGTGGGTTTAGTAATGGGACTAGCAACTAGACAAAAGTATATTCTTATAGTCTTACGAATTATACGAATTGTGTGGTTTTACTTTGCCCGGGATCGCTGCTGCTACTATATATGCTAGCTAACTGAACATTATGACTTTTTGTTTATTTCGCTCATCGTTTTTTTTTTCTTTTATTCCTGAAAATTGTTTGCATGCCTATCTATAACTCATATCTATTGAGAGAGAAACCGAAAGCATTCCGAAATGCCCGATGGGAAATTCAGTAAGTCGGAAAAGTGCTCTTATTTTTCTTCGATTCTTTTCTTTGCTTATTTTTTGACCCAGACACGTGCCGCACTCAAGTGACCAACGGGAAGGGCGGGGAGATAGGATATTGTTTTTCTAAGATTTTCAGCACAGTGCACAGAGATAAAATTATAGTAATATGGATTTTTTGTTAAGGAAATCTTGCAGTAATAATAGTTGTTATTTAGACAAGATTTTCTATAGGTTTTCATATTTTTCATAAGAGTTTTTTAGGGGGTTTTAAGTAATATTAGTAGTAATTTTCTTTCTGTGCCTGGACAGTCTTTTCTAGAGAGATAGAATATGTATCCTTCCGCCTTACCTAACATCTTCTTGGGACTGGAGGGCGCTGTGCCGCCCTCAAAGCCGGAATCGTTGCTGCATGTGCTCATCCTTATGATGGATGGTGATCCCGAACCGGAACCGGCAGCAGTTCCAGAGGCTCCAACACCACCACCACCGGTAGCACCAGCGGAGGTAACGCTCAAGGTGATGGCACCGGTACCGCCATCAGTGGAATCCTTGCCAGCATTTGCCTTGGAATCCACCGAACTGGCACTGCTCGCCGAGGATTCACTGCACTCCTCGCTCTCATCGTCGCTGTCCTCGTCCAGTGAGCCACCCGATCCCTCCTCGGAGCCACTCTCATCGTCCGTATTCTCATCGGAATAGACGATCTTCTCGCGCTTCCACAGGGGACGCGGTGTGGCCACCAATGGATACCGTGGCGCCTCCTCCTTCACATAGCACTTGTTGGTGGTATCGATCTTGATCTTCTTTTGGGGATCAAAACGCTTGGCTTCCGCGGCTGCGGCGGCTTTCGCCTTTTGCTTTTTCTTCTCCTTGCGCTGTTTCTTCTTCATGCTGGCCGTCAGGTGGATAGAACCGTCTATGCTGGAATAATCTGGCGAACTGACGTCTCCGTAGCTATCGTCGCTGCTCTCGGCCGACGAGGGTACGTAGTCCTCTAGAACGGCATCAACGTCTCGCAGATACTGTGCCAAATTCGATACTGTTGCAAACTTTGATAAATTATTGCCGACGCTGTCGGCGACGCCTTCGCCGCAGCTGTTGTCGTTGTCGTCGTGGTCGTGGTCGTGAGCAACAACATCAAGAGCGGGAACGGGAGCGGTAACATCATCAAGAGCGGGAGGACTAGCACCTAGACTGGGAGCAACACCTAGACTGGGAGCCACCACATTGAGAGCAGAAGTTGCAGAAGTTGTAGGCGTTGCAGTTGTCGCATTGCATGTTGCCGATGTTGCTGTTGCTGCTGCTGCTGCTGCTGCCGCCGGCGATGACGCATTTGTGGCCTGTTGCTGCTGCTGCTGCTGTTGCTGTTGCTGTTGCACTTGCAATGCCTGCTTGCTGGGGGCCAGCGTTATAAATTGATCGGCATTGATTGGGGTCACATTGCTCTCAGTATCGGGCTGAGTTGTTGCCGCTGCCACAGCCACTGCCTTCTTTTTACCGGCACTTTTTGGCTTTATCGGTTTCGGTGATTGCACCTTTGACTTGGCGGCTTCCGTCAATTTCGTTTTGGTTTCCGTTTGCCCTGCCAATGTTGCTGCCGTGTCGTGTTGCTGCTGCTGCTGCTGCTGCTGCTGCTGCTGTTGTTCCTTATGCGTTGTTTTATTTATTTTCGTTTCGGTTGAGACCGAGACAGCAGCGGCGGCCGCCGTTGCCTGTTGTTGTTCAGGTGACTTGGCCATTTGCCCGTTATTTATTTTTGGCCCTGCTGTTTCGTTCAGTTTTGATTTGGTCGCTGCTGTTGGTGTTGCAGCAGCGTTGCCAGATATTGTTTTAGCTGTTGCAACTTTAGCCTGTGCTGTTGGTGGTGTTGCAGCTTTAGTCTGTGGTGTTGCAGCTTTAGCTTGTGGTGTTGCAGGTTTAGCCTGTGGTGTTGGCGGTGTTGCAGGTTTAGCCTGTGATGTTGGTGGTGTTGCAGTTTTGATTTCTAATTTGGTTGGAGAAACTTTTGTTGGCGGCTCAGTTTTAATCTGTGACGTTGTTGACTTTTCCTCACCGGTTGCTGTTGTTGCAATTTTTGCAGCTGTTGACTTCTCCTCCTTTGTTGTTGGGGAAATTTTTGCAGCTGTCTCTACTTTAATTTCTGTTGTTGTTGATGGAGCTTTGGGTTTTTCCTGCAAGGTCGTTGTGGCAACAATGGTTGGTGTTTCTGTTTTTATTGGTGGTGTTTCCATTTTTGATTTTGGTGTTTCTGGTTTTGTAGGTGAAATTTTTGTTGGTGTTTCCACTTTTAGGGGTGGTGTTTCCACAATTATTTTTGGTGTCATTGGTGTCGTCACTTTAGTTGTAGGAGAATCTTTTGAGGGCGTTGTAGACTTCGCTTCAACTGTTGTTGATTTTGGTGAAACTTTCTTAGCTAAAGCAATTGTTGGTTTGGTTTTAGCCGCCTCCGTTGCAGTTGCTTTTTTCTTGGGCGATGTGGCAATTGTTGTTTTTAGTTTTGGTGTATCTGAGGTGGGTGTTGGTGTAGTTTTTGATGCATCTTTTCCGGTTGTAGCTGTTGCGCTCTTTATCTCCGTTGGAGTTGTCGCTGTCTTGAGTTCTATGAGTAGTTCCGACTTGAGTTTCGGTGTTGTTGGTGTCTTTGATTCTGTCTTTGTTTCCTTGGGTGTAGTTGGTGAAGTCGGTTGCATTTCTTCTTCGAGGAGTCGCTCCTGTCGCTCGGTATTGGCCTTTTTCCGATTGGTCATGTAGAGAGTTTCCCGTGAACCGATTTGCGACCAAAAGTCTTCACCACTTTCGGATTTCTGAATGGCCTTGCGAATGGGCTTGGGCGTGGCTACACCACCCTCGACCTTGGCTTCGGTTGGCTTGGGCTGATGCTGCTCCTGTTGTTGTTGTTGTTGTTGTTGCTTTTGCTGCTGCTCCTGTATGGCTGCCTCATCGAAGGTGAAAATTTGTGCCACACTCACATGTTGCTCCGGTGGTTGGGCAGCTTTGGTGTTGACCTTCTTTAGAGGCGATGTCTTGGTAGTTTTGGGAGCTGCCCGCATGAAACCCTCGGGAAGGACAGTCTTCTCTTGCACTTCTATCTTTTTCTTGGGCAACTTGAATACCTTGTGTATCTGATGGTGCTCCTCCACCGTCTCCACATTCACCGTGAACTTGGGCTTAGGACTGGGACTTGGTGTGGAACTCGAACCGGAACCGGAGCTGACAGCGGTCAGGGACTGCAGGTTCGAGGAGTCCTCATTAAGTTCCAGGACACTGGGCATATGATCGATTTGTGGCGTCACCTGAGGGGCATTCTCTACCTCCACAATGGCGGTGATCTTGTGGCGCAACTTCTTACTCTTCTTGGAGCGTCGCTTGGCTCTCTCACCGCTGGCCACCGCCTCATCCGCCGTGGTGGTGCTATCATGACTGGACCGGCGCTCCAGATGGATCAACTGGAAGGTGCCGGAGCTGGACTTTTGCAACTTATTAAGGATCTCCTGTTCCTGTTCTTGGATAATAGAGGCTCGACGGCGCAGTTCACCAGCATTTAGATCATCGTCGATTTTATCGGAGGAAATATCCTCGCAAATGTCATGGAACGTGGGACACTGCACCAAACTGAGGCGTCTTATGGTCTTTTCAATTTCCTCGAGATTTTCCTGCTTCTCCGAGGCGGAGACAGAGGTGGAGTCCGAGTCCTCCTGTTCATCCTTGTCCAGTTTGGTTTTAGTCTCCGTCACCTCTGGAGTTTGACTCCTCTTTAGGTTCTGTCTAAGTATGGGCTGTGGCTGTTCTTCCTTCTCATCTCGGATGTAGAATCTCTCGCGGAGCAGCTCTCCTGGTGACTTTTTGTTGCTGGTGACGGGAAAGGCGGCCAGTTCCTCGGCCAATTTCTGACGCCAACTGAGACTGGGCTCGGTGGCCGGCGGTAGATCCCTAAACTGATGATCCTCTTGTGCCTGCTGCAGTACCTGCTCCTTGGGCCGTTCCTTGCTGCGTCTGCGAATTGTGGAGAGTCGGACGACGGCACGGTTTCTTTTGATGGTCGAACGACGATTGGGACGGGTTTCGGTTCTGGCCGGATCTTGATTATCCAATGGAGTGGCCTCTTGCTCCTGTTTGGTGGTTGTATTCTCCTCTTTGGTTTCTTCTTTGGTCTGTGAAGGTTTCTCCTTATTCTCTTCCTTTTCTTTCTGCTCTTTTTCCAATGTCCTGGCTGAGGACACTCCCCTGCGATATCTGGAAGAGCTCACATCTATATCCGCCGTATTGATGGCAATGGGACGCGGTGGTATATAACGACTTGTGGTTCCCGAGGAGCCATAACTGGGACTTGACACCGAGGAGCTACTGTATTTGGGCGATTGTATCCTGGTCAAAGGCATCAGACTGCTGTGACCACTGTGCCGCCCACTCTCGGTGATTGTTGTGAGTTTTGGTTGATACCTTGACACCGAGGAGGAAGTGGAACTGCTGCCGGTATAACTGATGGGCGATCGTGGTGAGGAGGGACCCAGCGGTACCATATAGCTGGCCGGATAGGAGCGATTGTAGCTGGAGGTATAACTGGAGCCGGAGCCCAGATTTAGGCCCAAACCGGAGCTATAGTATGGCGAATACAGCTGACTGCTGCCGCCACTGTAATAGTAGTTGGTCGAATCCGAATACAGAGGCATTGCGAGGCCTTTTTTTAATTTGCACCACTAACTGAACAGCAAAAAAAAAGTATATATATCACTCTGTTTTGTTTGCTTTTCTTCCGGCGATTTTTCACGCTTTTTCACTGCTTCTTTTTCGATTGAATTGTTTTTCCTTGGTTCGTTTAGGATCTCATATTTTGTTTGGAATTACGCTATATAATATATAATATTGATATATTATCTATTCCTAAATGGCACAGGTGGAGATTTTTTTTGTATCTATTGATTTATAAATCAATACATTAGTTTATTTATTAATTTATATGCTTATTTCTTTATTCTGTTTACTGTTTTTGTTATTATGTTTTATAATTAATGAATTTCTTTATTGATTGCTTTATTTTTAAGGCCCCTCTAAGAAATTTGTTTTGAAATGTATAAAAAACCCACACAAAAATAAGTGCTACGGGTTTTTTTAAAGTAATAATTATGTACAAAAAATAATAATAATTCCTTCAATGGGAAAGTGTAAAACCCTGGTAAAATATTTTTTACAACGATTATTGTAACATTTTTAAGGTATTTAAACAAAGATCTTAAACCTTGCAGTTTGCTACATTTCAACCGATCATATCTTAGCCAAAAAAGCATAAATTTTGATTCGGAAAGCTGTTCTATGCTAGTTTTTATAAGGGTAATAAATCTGCATGCTCAATTTAACATTTTAAAAATTTTAATTTTTTGATGAAAATTTCTTGTCTAACTGACAAAAAAATTGTGAAAAAATTTGAAAATTTTTTTTCTGGCGGATATGGCTAGATCGATCCGCCTGTTGATGCTGATCAAGAATATATATGATTTATGGGGTCGGAAATGACTCCTTCACTTTCTTTTAAGCTTCTGACTGAAGGTCCATTACCAGTTTTTAATCGATATTAACTATATTTTTGTATGAAAATTTTACGACAAATCAAAATGTAAAATACTCATAACTAAGCCAAAAGAGCATAAATTTTGATTCGGAAAGCTGTTCTGTGCTAGTTTTTATAGGGTTAAAAAATCTGCATTTTAAGTTGTATAATTTACGCAATTTAAAATTTTCTCAAATTTTGCATTCTTAACAATATAAAATTTAATGATAAAAATTTGAAAATAAAATTCGAAAAAATTGTTTTGCTCTATACATGGCTAGATCGATTCGGCTTTTGATGCTGATCAAGAATATATATGGTTTATAGGGTCGGAAATGACTCATTCGTGAGTTACAAGCTTCTGATTGAAATTAAAATAATATTCCTTGTCCCGAAATTTATCAATAATTTTGTATGACAATTTATGATAAATCGATGTTTAAAAAATTCATAACTGAGCCAAAAATGCATTAATTTCCATTCGGAAAACTGTTCTGTTCTAGTTTTTAAAGGGTTAAAAACTGTGCATATTTAGTTTTACAATTTAAGCAACTTAAAATTTTCTCAAATTTTACATTCTTAACAATATGAAATTTAATGATAAAAATTTGAAAATAAAATTCGAAAAAATTGTTTTGCTCTATACATGGCTAGATCGATTCGGCTTTTGATGCTGATCAAGAATATATATGGTTTATAGGGTCGGAAATGACTTATTCGTGAGTTAAAAACTTTTGAATTGAATGATAATATCCTGCAAGGGCATACAAAATATAAAAAACAAAGTTGATGTACGAAATCAAAACAAAAGTCTGAACAAATTAATGGCTTTTTTTCAAAAAGGTGTTAATTGCGTGAAATAAACACACTTGTCAGCCACAAACTACACTGTACTTCCCCCTCCTGTTCAGTATCTTTTCAATCGTTAACCAAATAAACTGATTTAATTCGATTTTCGTTCGATTTCCAATTCTAATTCGATTTCCGGCTAAACCAACGTCGATGTCAATAACTCAATTTAATTGCTAGCAGCAACTACATCCTAACGAGGCTATAATAATCCCAATGCTGCTTGGGCAACACATTATAAATATCAGAGATTTAACCATAAATTCGATGGCACTTCACTTGATTCCTTGCCGAGCGATCCACATACAACATATATATGCTATAGGCTCTTGATCTACCTCTGCATTTACATATATCTCTCGTGTATTTAATTATACAATTCTCAGTTTGAGAATTTCAAATTTCAAAACTGCTGTCATAATAATGTGCCTGCCAGCCAGCATTTGGCAATACCACACGAATCGGGCAGTTCACATTAATTATAGCCTAATTGGCACCAAAAAGGGTTTAATTCCCCATGATCGAGCGATCGGAAACGAATCAAAAATTATTAATTATTCTCTGTTTGAAATTTTTATGGTGAAAAGAAGGAATTTTTGGATTAATTTCTAGATTTTTTAATTAGTTTATGGAGGTGTAAGAACGGGTAGAGTGGGTATTACAATTTTACTCAAAAGTTTGCAATTTTGTTATATTTTATAATCATAATTCTGATTAAATTTATAGTAATTATCATTTTTGAAGCTGTTAATATTTGTTTTCTGAGATTTCTTTATAATTATTTTGAGACAATCGATAAAAAGGAAATGCAGCATTTTAAAAAGAAATCTTTGTACAAAACATATTTTTTTACACACAAAATACAACAAGTAATTTATTTAGGTTCTTCTAAGATTGATTTCTACTTTCCCTGAATCATTATTAATCAAATCTAATATTAAAATTAGCTTAAAGAATTTTCTGAATCAGAATTGGAATAGAAAAAACCGATCAATTGCCTGAGTAATTCCTTCCTAATTGTTTATACAAATTAAACAAATAAAGCTATTCAAGGGAAATAAGACTTGATCAGAGAAACTCCTAGAATATATATCCCATGTTTTATTTTTCTTTTGGCAAACGGAAATAGATAAAATTGAAATCGAATTGTCATTGGCTGAAGGTCAGTGCCTGGCCTGGAATTGATGGCTTTTCAATAATTAACGCCCTGCGTGTGTTCAATGGTCTTATTATATGTTTATTATTGGCCACCGTCGTTGCTTTTTTGCCCACATGTGCCATATAGAAATAGATAGTATATATATATACAAATATATATATATAAAAACCAACGTAGGAGATATTATAATTTTTTGCATGACGTAAGCGCTCACGAGTCGTTGTCTGCGATTTTCTCCTCAGCGATTTGCCACGCATGAAAATATCTGACACTTTTTTGTTCCTTCTATTTTTTATTATAACTTTTTGTTTTTATTTTTTAGAGCACACACTTTAAACGCAATGTGCGTGGTTTTTAACTATTTCTGTTGTATGATTTTTTGTTTTTTGTTATGATTTTTACCGTGAACGCGACGAAAGGCAGCAGCCAATAGTGTTAAAAAAAAAATGGAAAATAAAATCGAAGAAGGAGCTCTTGTATCTCGACGTGGCGAACGCATTAACGGAAACTACTGAAATGTGGAAAAAGGCAGCGATGAAAATTTTCAATTCCGAAGGCGAAAAAAAAAATTCACGGGAAAATTCGAAGACCATCTGTGTGAGAGAGAGGCTAACTTTGCAGCGGCAGAGATACTACACACGTGTATCTGTATCTGTATTTTATACACACAGCTAAAAATTGGTAGCTAAAATGATGATAGAATGGGATTTTATTAAAGGGTTGCAAGGGAGGTTATAAAGATTACAAAAAAAAAAAAATATTTAGAAATGTTTGATGAGAAATCAATAGTTGTATGAAAATAAAATCACTTGAGAAATAATCTTGAGTTTAAAATAAATACCAACAGGGCTTTAAAATATCTTAAAAGCATTAGAAATTGTTTTTAAGCTACTATTACTTAGATTATTTAGGAGTACTTAATATATAGTAATATAAAGAGAGTTCAAGGAAGGGTTTTTTATATAAAAGCAAAGTAAGCCTTTAAATATAAAGCCTTAGACCTGAAAATCCATTTATAATCTCTAAAATATTCCCAATCAGATCCGAAAAATCCATAAAAGATTTGGTTTATGTTTTAAAATGTATTAAAGATACATTAAATATTGCTTTATATAGAAAATTTCTTATTAAAACCATTAAATACTTTCCCAATGCCAAAGAAATTATATAAAAACCATTTAAAATATCCTAATAAATCCCCCTAAAGAAAAGAATTCAATTTAAAACCAGGATAAATCTCCTTATTTACAAGAATTCAATTTAAAACCAGGATAAATCTCCTTATTCTTTCATTTAATTCCCAAATATTCCTCTCAGTGCACTTGTATCTTGTATCTTGTATCTTTACCAGTATGTGTGTTGAGGCAAAAGGCATACTCTAAGGCCCAGATCATCATCTTCCTCTTCCCATTATCAGCATCTCTGCCAATTTCGAAATATGCCCCGTCAGAAAAAGATCAACACACACACACGCACACACATTCAGCCATAAATTTTTCACACAAAGGCGAGCGCGGTGTTTTTCGAATTTCGAAAAGCATCAAAAACCATTTTGACGTATTTTTTGCACAGCGAAAGTAAAAGCGAAAAGTTGAGAGAGATCGAAGGAGAGAGATATATATCTCAAGAGATACAAATTCGAAAAAGAAAATGTTGTGAGAGAAAAAAGAAGCAGAGAAGCTGTCATAAAATATGCGGAACAATTAACTAAAATAAGTATAGGTAAAAAAAAATATATATATGTATATGGGTTTCATAAGATTTGTTACAACAAAAGAGGAAGAAATATGACTAGAATATATTTCTATATAATTTTTTTTGAGTCAAATAGAGCGAAATATTGAACTTACTAAAGGTTTTTATAATATTTATTTAGGCTAGTTAATTTTCTAATTTATATACAACAATAACAAATATTATTATTTGTTAAAAACCTAATTTTTGACTTGAAAAATATAATAACAAATTTGGCGAAGATAATAAACCTAAAGCAAGTTCATAATTATATATTTAACAACGAAAAACGGAAGTGTGCCATAAACTTTATGAGCTAAGCACTTGAATAATTATTTAGCACATTTGAATATAAAAAAATATACTAAGCACTGCTATTATTACAGTATAATTTTAAACAAGAAACCCAAATATAAATCCAGAAATCTTTTTAAAAATATACTAAAGACAAATAGAAATGTCGAAATGCTGTCACAAAATGTGTGACCAATTAATTGTCACTAAAATGCATATATTGCCATAAATAAAACGTATTTAGACATAAGTGTAATCAAACATCAAAGTGTTCATTTATGCGATGAATAGAGAAAAATAAAAACAATTTAAACAAATGCAAAATACTCTCTGAAAGAGAGAAAGTGTCAAAATTAGAATTCTCCTGAAATGCAAAGCAGACATCAAAGTGTTAATTAGGTTTATTGTTTTGTTAAAGTAATAAAATGGACATAATTTATTGAAAATTAGTATCCATCAATTTATAATTAAATATGTGAGCTATCAAATAATTATTAAGGACATTTTAACAAGTTTACTTCTATTCAAGAACTAAGTTTCTACATAATTTTTACATTCATATTTCAATAAATAAGTAAACTTTGTAGACACTAAAATTCCAATATTCTAAAGCCAAGTAGTAAATCAGGGATTTTGTTTAAAAAAAATCAACAAATCTGGGGATTATGATTAACAAGAAACAAAGCACAATAAAGGAAACACTATTTGTTGAAAATGCTTTATTTAAACAATCATGAATTTTTGTATAAAAAGAAGTTCAGGGACGCCATAAATAAATTAAAAAAAAGGTTTATTTCGAATAAATTAAAAACAAACCGAACACTATTTGACATATTTGCCAACATGGACTTTTAGCAGTTGCCGTCCAAAAGGCATTTTTCTGGGCGATCATCAATTCACTTGTTTGTGGCACCTGCTATCAAGATGTTTAGCTAAAATTGTCCAATTTCCCCCCCTTTCCTTTCCTCTCATTTTCATTCCCTTCCCTTCCGATGCGAAATGCCAGAAATGCCGCACGTAGGATATATCTCACATGAGACCCATACCGTATTCCTAATGCCAATCTATAACCCTAGGCATTATATAGTTATAGGCGAAAAAATGGGTTTTTAGATTTATTTTAAGTGGAATTTTATTCTTAAATTTTTCCTTTTATCTCTTTATTAAATGTGTGTACCAATTGCATTTATTTAATAATAAAATTATTATTATATAATTATTTTTGGATTACTTTTAAGATTCAAGGATTAAAAATATTGATCCCTCGAGCTGGATATGAATATGTTTATTGATTTTCAATGCCCAACATTATTTTTACTTGAAAAGTTTAGAAAAAAGTATTTTTGAAGAGCTATAAAATGTTTAAAATATTTATTATTAAATAAATATTATTAATATTATTGATTTTCAAACTCCAACATTATTTTTACTTGAAAAGTTTCAAGAAAATATTTTTGAAGAGCTATAAAATGTTAGAAATATTTATTATTAAATAAATATTATTATGATTATTAAATTTCAATGTCCAGCATTATTTTTATTTAGAAAGTTTAAAGAAAATATATTTAAAGAGCTAAATAACATTATAAGTAAACCCTAAAGGCTTCTCTAATATATTTTTTATTTGCAAGAACTATTTAATTGACCTAGACTGTGCTGCTTCGTGCCACACTTATACCCCTGGCCACGTTCCTAGGACTCGAACTCATAGAGCGTGTACATGCGATGCTAATGGTGACGCTTTTCGGTTCCGCAAAGTACATTTATAGATCGGCGGGCAAAACAAGAGGGGTGAGCAGGGGGGAGGAGGAGGTGGCAAGTGGAAAGCGCCAAACAACTAGAAATAGAACTGCAACATGCTTTTCTCTTCTAGTTTTCTTTTTTTGTAGATTATTTTCCGCTGCCTCAGTACTTAATCTTTGCGATTTATAGCATTCGAATGAGAGGCGAGACGAGTGAATTTTTATATATTTTAGTGCGATATATTTTTGCGACTGCATTCCTGTCGGTCTCATTTGGGTGTAAAAGTGTCAGGCTTCGAGCACAGAACACTTGCACACTTGGAAAAACATCATAAACAATATGCGATTTAACGAGATTTTAAATGTCTTTAATATCCATGTTCTCTTTCCGAAAACTAAATCCGTAAAGAAATGCAGATTTCTTAGATTGAAAGGGAAATTTAAAAGGAAATGGAAGTTGAACAAAGTGAGGATTGTATTTGATATACAAAATAAACCACGTAAAAACCTCTATAATATTTACTTAATATAACAATTCAATAAAATATTTGACTAATTAAACAATATAGATTTTTGTATAAGTTCCCTTTAATATTTTTGAAATATGTAAGGGATATTTCTTTGATTATATATTTAAAAATATACCCTACAAATATTTAATGAATTTGAAATACTGTCTAAAATTTCTTGGCATATTTCTTAAGGTCTCTACAATTGTTAGATACTTATAGGGAATTCCCTTATTCGATCAATGCAACTTTGTTATATCTTCTTGTTATTTTTGGCTCGTTCCGTTGGCAATGTTTCCTTTAGTTTTCTTGTTTTTTTTCTTTTTACCCCTCGACTTTTGTGTGTTTGGCAAAGTCGCAATAAATTGATTTCTAATGCAGTCTGGCCAGTTGTCTGTCCATCTGCTATATAGAAGCGATTTCGGCTTGATCTGTCTTTCGCATTATTTCCGCTTTTCAACAGCAAGTGAAAGTCTTTTGTTTGTGTGACAAAACAAAAAAACAAAAAAAAATATTGCACAATTTCGTAAATTAAATGTTGAAATAAAATGAATCATTCGAGTATATATTTAAAAATAAAAATGAAGAGCATTTTTATTGCATTTCCAGCGAACAAGAAATTTTAATATTTCCTTGTATATACATATATTTATATACACCTGAATTTAAGCCAGAAAATATAATAATAATTTGACACAATTACAAAAATGCTCTGAAATTCCAGAAAATGTATGTCGTAGAGTGAGAATTTACCAAGAATAATTATTAGAGCTTTGACCTTTGCCATTTATTTTTATTTTTCGTGGAAATAATATTGAGATCTATAAGTTCTTGAGTTTCCCAGCAAACTTAAATATATTAATAATTTGTACAAGATTTTCCTTTGGTTAATAGGAAATTGTAGCTAACAATTATTTACTTAGATAGTTCCTTTATTTCCCCTTATTTAATATCCCTTATTTCCACCGACCGTTACATTTTCCGAGGCTCACGGGAAAAGCCCAAAAAACCTGAGGTGCTAATAATTGCTAAAAGAATTGTTGAAGCTTTTTGTGGAAAGCTATTTTTCTACCTCTGACACATATGGTGCCACCTGGCAAAAGCTCAAGCCAATAATAAAATCGCAACAGGATTTAATATATAATAATATATAATAAAATATACTAAAATATACTAAAATAAGGGTTAAGTAATAGCACTGAGATTCAAAGAATA